TTACCAAATTCTGTGTTTTCCATTAATTTTCTAGATTCCATTTTAGTGGTTTCATTAAATTTTCATAATCAAAACCATCTCTAATTAATTGATTTCATTAAAAAAATATATATATTATTTTCTTTTTCTTTCTTTATCCCCCTAGAAATACTGTGTTGTGTATTTACGTTTTTCTGGTAAATAATTTCTGGTAACTAATTTTTCTGGTACATATTCCTTAAACAAAATAGTGTTTTAATAATAATTTAAGTAATATTAAGTAATATTGTAAGTACATTAAGTAATACATTAAGTAATATTTCTGTCACAGTTTCTTCAAGTTAAACTGAACTTTTATTTTGACGGGTTACTGTGAAGAGCTTTAAGTTTCTGTTTGTATATGATATGATGATAGTTTTTCTCAAAAGACACGGTAAAATGAAGTGACTCTCGGAGCAGCTCTAGAGATTATGATCATGTGTTACTCATATATTGAGGCTGAAAACACGTCTGCGCCATTCATTCACATGCAGGATTCATATTTAAACAGTAAATTCACCAAACCACACCAACACAGCACAGAGGGAGAAGACACGTCTGGGCTTTGCATTGAAGAAAAGTTATAGCCTACTATTTTAATTCTTCTGTCTAAATATTTGTGCTTGTAATTAAACTGCAAATTAAATTATACCTTCATACGCTTTTATTGTGCAAGATTCAGTACTGAAAATTATTCCAAATAAAAGTAATGTAATTGTAATATTTTATAATATAAGTCCTAATATATAAAATAAACTCTATCCATCTATCCTCTAAAATCTATTCATCCATCAATCTATCTATCACTCTATCCATCTTCACACCCATCCATCCATTATCTATCCATCTAACCATCCATTATCTATCTGTCCTTCCGTCCATCTGTCCGTCCATCCGTCTATCTGTCCACCCAATCAATCTATCCATCCATGCATGCATCATCTATATATTCATCTGTCCATCCATCCATCCATCCATCATATATCCAATAACCAACCAACCATCCACCATCCATCATCTATCCGTCCGTCCATCCATTCATCATCTATCTATCCATCTGTCCATCCATCCATCATCTATCTATCCATCTACTTATCCATCCGTCCAACTATCCATCTATCCGTCCGTCCGTCCGTCCATCCATCCGTCTATCTGTACACCTAATCAATCAATCCATCTTTGCATCCATCCGTTCATCCATCATCTATCTATTCATTCAACTATCCATCATCTGTCCATCCATCATATATCCAATAACCATCCATCCATCTATCTATTCATACAACCATCCACCATCCATCATCTGTCCATCCATCCCATCATCTATCCATCCATCTACCTGTCCGTCCGTCCATCTGTCCACCCAATCAATCAATCTATCTTTGCATCCATCCATCCGTCATCTATCTATTCATCCAACTATCCATCATCTGTCCATCCATCCATCCATCATTTATCCAATAAACCAAACCACACCAACACAGCACAGAGGGAGAAGACACGTCTGGGCTTTGCATTGAAGAAAAGTTATAGCCTACTATTTTAATTCTTCTGTCTAAATATTTGTGCTTGTAATTAAACTGCAAATTAAATTATACCTTCATACGCTTTTATTGTGCAAGATTCAGTACTGAAAATTATTCCAAATAAAAATAATGTAATTGTAATATTTTATAATATAAGTCCTAATATATAAAATAAACTCTATCCATCTATCCTCTAAAATCTATTCATCCATCAATCTATCTATCTATCACTCTATCCATCTTCACACCCATCCATCCATTATCTATCCATCTAACCATCCATTATCTATCTGTCCTTCCGTCCATCTGTCCGTCCATCCGTCTATCTGTCCACCCAATCAATCTATCCATCTTTGCATCCATCCATGCATGCATCATCTATATATTCATCTGTCCATCCATCCATCCATCCATCCATCCATCATATATCCAATAACCAACCAACATCCACCATCCATCATCTATCCGTCCGTCCATCCATTCATCATCTATCTATCCATCTGTCCATCCATCCATCATCTATCTATCCATCTACTTATCCATCCGTCCAACCATCCATCTATCCGTCCGTCCGTCCGTCCATCCATCCGTCTATCTGTACACCTAATCAATCAATCCATCTTTGCATCCATCCGTTCATCCATCATCTATCTATTCATTCAACTATCCATCATCTGTCCATCCATCATATATCCAATAACCATCCATCAATCTATCTATTCATACAACCATCCACCATCCATCATCTGTCCATCCATCCCATCATCTATCCATCCATCTACCTGTCCGTCCGTCCATCTGTCCACCCAATCAATCAATCTATCTTTGCATCCATCCATCCATCATCTATCTATTCATCCAACTATCCATCATCTGTCCATCCATCCATCCATCATATATCCAATAACCATCCATCCATCCATCCATCCATCCATCTATCTATTCATACAACTATCCATCCATCATATATTCAATAACCATCCATCCATCTATCCGTCTGTCCATCCAATCAATCTATCCATCTGTCCATCCATCCATCATCTATCTATCCATCTGTCCATCCATCCATCTACTTATCCATCCAGCCATCATTTATTCAACCATCCATCCGTCCGTCGGCAGAGGCGGACAGTAACTAAGTACATTTACTTGAGTATTGTACTTAAGTACACTTTTTGAGTATCTGTACTTTACTTGAGTATTATTTTTTCTGGGAAGTTATGACTTTAACTTCACTACATTTGAAAGACAAATATTGTACTTTTCACTCCACTACATTTCTGTCAAGATCCTCAAAGTAGAAAGTCGTTACTATGTAGCAGCTTTGAAAGTCAGTGGGTGATTTCTTTCTTCTCTAAAAACTGTCTTTTTTTCAGACAGTTTATCAGTAATCACTCTTGGGGCTACATGAAGTGATTTCCCAGCATTTTTTGAACAAATGTGATATTTATTTACAACAATTCAATAATAAGAATTTAATATTGTGGTATATATTAAGAAACAATATTGTCTGACTTTGCTAAATTGTGTACGTGAAAATATTACCCATAAAGCCACAGAAGAACTGTTGTGTGTCTCCTAATAAAACACAATAGGTGTTGGACTTGAAGCAGCACTGCACAGACCATTCTGTGTGTGACATCAAAGTACAGCGAGAGCGATTAGACAGCATTTCAAATGTTTGTTTTGATGTCAAATAAGTCTTGCTGTTTTGATTTTTTGTTAAAGCAGTGTTGCTGTTGTAAAGTTGTACAGCTACAGTTGTGTTGCTGGGTTTTAAAGCAGGTTTGATTTTTTTTTTCTTATCAGTCTGTATTTACAGCAATTTCACACTGTCAATACACACTGTCAGAGCTGTGTGAGATCACTACCATCCTGCTTTTGTGGGGGAGGGTAGGGGTGTTCATTTTTTTACATTCTAAAAGCTCTTTATTCCAAAGATACTACAAGCTAATCAGTGTATTCAGTAGGTGTAATGTATTGTAAGTTGCTTCAGAAGTATTGCAAGTATTACGTACAACAATAAAACAGTGCATTGACATAAAAAAAGGAAATTTATACTTTTGCTACTTAAGTACTTTTAAAAGCAAGTACTTCTGTACTTTTACTTAAGTAAAAATCTGTCTTTACAACTTTTACTTGTAATGGAGTGATATTTGACCAGCAGTATCTGTACTTTCACTCAAGTAATGGAATTGAGTACTTTGTCCGCCTCTGTCCGTCGGTCAGTCCATTCATCCATCAATCAATCTATCCATCTTTGCATCCATCCATCATCTATCTATCTATCCATCCATCTATACATCTATCTGTCCGTCCGTCCATCCATCCAATCAATCTATACATCTTTGCATCCATCCATCCATCCGTCATCTGTCCATCCATCATCCATCACCTATCTATCCATCTGTCCATCCATCCATCCATCATATATCCAACAACCATCCATCTATTCATACAACCATCCATCATCTGTCATCCATCAACCTATCTATCCAACCATCCATATATCCGTCCATCCATCCAATCAATCTATCCATCTTTGCATCCATCATCTATCTATCCATCTGTCCATCCATGCATCCATCCATCAACTTATCTATCCAACCATCCATCCGTCCGTCCATTCATCCATCAATCAATATGTCTATCAATCTATCCATCTTTGCATCCATCCATCATCTATCTATACGTCCAACCATCCATTTATACATCTATCTATCTATCTATCCATCCGTCCGTCCATCCAATCAATCTATCCATCTGTCCATCCAGCCATTTATCATATATCCAACAACCATCCATTCATCCATCTATCTATTCATACAACCATCCACCATCCATCATCTGTCATCCATCCATCTATCTATCCATCCGTCCATCCGTCCATCCATCCAATCAATCTATCCATCTTTGCATCCATCAATCCATCCATCCATCCATCATCTATCTATCCATCTGTCCATTCATCCATCACCTATCCAACCATCCATCCGTCCGTTTGTCAATTTATCCATCAATCAATCTGTCTATCAATCTATCCATCTTTGCATTCATCCATCCATCCATTATCTATCTATCTATCCATCCAAACATCCATCCATCTATACATCTATCTGTCCGTCCATCCAATCAATCTATCCATCCATCATCTATCTATCCATCCATCCATCCATCCATCCATCCATCCATCCATCCATCCAACTGGGTTTTGCAGTATCTGAAGAAAGTATACTCTTTTAATACTTGTGTCTGAACATTTGTCCGAGTCAAATTAAGCAGCCACAACATGTGTGTAGAATAAATTCACAAGAGCTGACAAGACCTGAGCTTTAGTGAACAGCCTGGAAAGATCAAACCTCAGAAGCTGCAGGAATGTCTTTGTGCTGCTGCAACACTATTCCAACGAATCGCTTCGATGCTGAAACTTTAATGAAAGCGGTCGATTCACACAGTTCAACGAGTGCTGATTAAAGTAAATGAAGGGCTCTCAAGGTTGTGTGCATTAATGATACAGACTCTCACCATCTCAATGCCCATGGCTCTCATTTTGTCGGTTCTCTTCTCACAGACCGATAAGAACTTCTTGGGATCAGACAGGGCATCGGCAATCGCTGAAACGAGAAGATCTCACAGCATGAAAACACTGAGACTTAAGACGAAACTCATGCTTGTCTTTACACAAAGGCATCTAACCTCCGAAGCCGTCGGGCACGTATGTTTTGAGGATGATGTTGCAGAAGACGGTGGCCAGGGACAGAGGTTTGTTGTAGTCGTTTCGTAGGGAGATGTGCCTGTAACAGGACTGCAGTCCGTCCAGCGGGAGAATGGGCTGTCCTATCAGCTTATTGCTGTCGTCGTACACGGCCACGTGCAGCACGGCGAGGTCTGGGAGGATCACCTGTGGGATCGGGGGACTGGTGTGTTATTTATTCTGCTTGTGTTTTTGACTTAGATGAAAGAGTTTCAAAAGCAAAAACGAGAGACAC